GTGAATCAAAGGACTGGCCTAAAAAGCGCATTGCTGTGGAAGGTAGATATATCAACAAACTTCAAAGAACTGTTACTTTAATTTCCTAGGGAAATGTCTTGGCTACTGACATTGTGTGTAATAACTTAGAATTTTTCAATATTGGACTGTGATTCCCAATAATATAGTAGACTGTTTTGGGGAAAAATATTAAGTAATACTTCCCTTGAATATCTTTTTCAATATTATCAAAAGTAATCAAGTGGGCTTAAAAACTGTCTTCTGCACAATTCGTAGGTCTTGTGTCCCTACATAGTGTGTTAGTGTAACAGTAGTATATTCAAATTGTGTAAGGATGTAAGTGTATTCTTTTTTTAAAAAAAGTTAATTCCTGCACTGCTGGCTTACTTCTTCTTTCTACTAGACCCATATTCAGTCAAAAGGAACGTGGCAAGAACTCTGAACAGCCAGCTAGTGTATGAATATATTCTCCACTGCCTGAGAGCAACTTACAAGTATTTTGCCTTGCCTCACAAAAGAAGGGGAAGATTGAGGAAAAAATCTTGTCCAAATACCAGTGAGGAGAAATCCCAAATGCTGGACCATGGAAAAGATGTTATAAAGCATGAAAATTCTGAGTTGCAGAACTTGGATGGTAGAACAAACACAGCCATAGTGGAAGATTGTATAACAGAGGCTACAGCTATGTCCCAGACACATAGAACTGATCCTTCAGAACTGTGTGATGTCTCGGAAAGCTTCACGGAAGAACAACTGGCTGATGATATAAGTCATTTGGGAATTGTCTATGAAGATTCAGACTGTATAATTGAGGAGGTTATTTCTGGAGATAATGAGGACTATAAACCAAGTTGTGAAGAGACAGAGAGTGGAAATGAAGAGGAAGAGGAGGAGGAGGAGGAAGAGGAAGAACATCAACAACAACAAAGAAGGTGGAATAATGTCCTGACTACTGAGCAGGGAATAGATGAAGACAGTGATAGTGGAGACCTTTCTGTTCAAGTGAATGAGCATGATATGGAGACATGTCGTACTTCCGACTTCGAAAGTTTCCAAAATTCTGCACTTACAGAGAGTGATGAGTGTGGCTTAGAGTGCAGAGGTATAATGGATGACAAGATGGACATTGACGAGGAGAGCACTGAAGGTACTGATGAACTGGATGAATCCCCCCAAAAATTCGTATGTTTACCAGAGAGTCAAATATCCCAAATGATTAATTCAGATGAGGAGGAGGAAGAACCAAGTCTTCTAAACCTGGCAGATTGTGATGTTATCCTAAGGGCTGGAAATGAACTGGACAACACATACACTGGATCTGGAGATGATGATGCCCTGTCAGAGGAGGAGGATGATTTTTCCATCCCACATAAATATGAGAAAAAATATTTTGAAGAGAATGTGGATGGACTTCTGAGGATCAGTTTGAGTCTAGAGGATCTTACTGAGAAAGGAAGCCTCTTCGAAAAGAGCACAGCAACAGAACTGTGCTTAGAATCTGAACTTTTTTATGAATTCAGTAAACCAGCTTTTACAAAGGGCAAGGTAAGCAAGCTGTAGCAGAGTATAAATGCATTACTTATGTTCTGTTGTAAGTTATGTGAAAGTGTTGCCCAAATTCATTCAAGTGTTACAGTTTTAAAAACCAATCTTGGTTTCTGTTCGTGCAGTCTCCTACAGTAGTATGTAGCTTGTGCAAACGGGAAGGTCATTTAAAGAAGGATTGTCCAGAAGACTTCAAGAAAATTGAGCTTCACCCATTGCCACCGATGACACATGTATTTTCATTTATTCTGGACCAAGTTTGTATCCAGTGCTACTGTAAGTTGGGTTTTTTCCTTTTTTTTTAATACTGTTGTGCTGTAGAAGAATTGCAATAAATAATGGAATAACTACAGGCTAACAGTGTTATAAAGGGAGCTGGTTTATTTGCTACATTGCAACCAACTCTCCTAGTTAAAATTCTAAAGGTTTGTAATGGCTTGAATCGGACTGAGGAGTTTATATCTTCAGAAATACAGAATGTTTAGATTTATCTTCCACACACTGGCTGTCTGATTACTCATTTAGGCATTGAATCATAGAATCATAGAATGGTTTGGGTTGGAAGGCACCTTAAAGACCATCTAGTTCCAACCCCCCTGCTGTGGGCAGGGATACCCTCCACTAGACCAGGTTGCTCAAAGCCTCAGCATCTTAGTATGATTTCTAAGAGTTTAAGTTTGGGTGGATTTTTTGGCTGGTAGTTTTACATTTCAGTCTAGTCTGAATTTTATTGATGTTCCTGAACTTGTCACATTTCAGTAAACAAAGACTTCAGTGTTCTAGAAAACATGGAGTCAAAATACTGTTTGGTAACATTTCTTCACTTTTCTTCTTTTCAGAGCGACCCAACTTTCCTCCTTTCTCTCTCGCCATTTCTGACCAGACAAAATGCATTATTTGTGTAATTAATGTTTTTCTTTGAACAGGTATTTCTCTTCTTCTTCATCCTTTCATTTTTCCTTCACATGTGAATCTTCTCTTGCTTTTTCTCTCCCCCACCTTCCCGCGCTGTAAACCCCCCACTTTTTCATTTGAATCTTTGCTTTTGACTCTTTCTACAGAAGAGTTTACCTCAATTGCTATCTATTTTTTTTAAGATGATTTTGCTCCAACTACTCTTGAGGATCAGGTTCGGGAATATATAAGACAAAACTTGGAAAACTTCATTAGACAGGATTTCCCAGGTAATTAGGCAGTTCTAGCTTTATATTTATACTTTTGTGTGTTGCTGCTTGAGTGTTTTCCAAGAAAAGGTATCACCTCAGTCTGATAAACACCTCAGTTTTGAACATCTAACCAGTGTTGTTGCTCAGCATTGCTGTACTTCATTACAATAATTTCTGTTTTAAGCCTTTTAAGGCTTTGGTTTTAGCCTTTGACTTAGTCATATATGCAACACGTCAGTGAGAAGGAACAATGGCATGTTAAGGAGAAAACAATCAAAGCAGTTAGTGGAATAGTTTTATATTGTTATTTTAGCCTTATTCATTAGCCAGACTTCTTGAAGTGAATGCTTTTACAAACAGGATTTTTTTCGTGCTTCCTACTGATACTTACTTGTTTTGGAATATGTTAAAATACAGGCACAACATCTGACCTATTTGCAGAACCTAGCTATTTGTGGGTTTTGTTTGTTTCTGGAGTTCTTACCTGTGAGACCTGGACTTTGGTTCATAGTCTTTTAAAACTAGCTAAAGATTATTTGGCTGGAGCCTGGTATGTGGACAGGTATGTCCCTCACCCTGAAAGTTTCTGTAGACTGCAGTCTTAAATTTTTTCATCAGATTTCAGCTTGGACCTCTGTGCTGATGGTTTAATTATTGGAAAACCTGAATTGTTTCTGGGCTGCTCATTTGAACCAATAAAAGTAGAGATTCCTTCCTCATCGGCAAAGTTGACAAGATAAGTTTTGGTGTACCGTAGGAAGTTAGTAAAGTTTTTATGCCTGTATTAAAAGACATCAGTGGTTTGAAGCTGTATACAGTTTGAGATCCCATGGTGATCCATGGTTATAACCTGTGATATCTCTTACAGGAACCAAGCTGACGTTGTTCGGGTCATCAAAAAACGGCTTTGGCTTCAAACAAAGTGACCTTGATATTTGTATGACGATCAATGGGCTGGAAACTGCTGAGGTAGTTTGGAAAGATTGAGGGTTTTTTAAATGCAAAACTTTATTACTGTGTTGTGTATATTACATAACAGATTTATTATTATTTTAAAAACATTTCAGATTCGAAGGAAACTGAGATAGGTGCCACAAAAGCAGATTATTTTAGGGGGTGTTGCTGTTCGTTTAGGCATGAGTTTGAGAACTACTCTTCATAGTCAGTTTTCTTCCAAATTCTGCACTGTTGTTACTTCTAGCATTAGCTGTGCAGATAGTTCACGTGCTTCGTTGCCTAAACAGCTACGAATGGGAGACAGTGCAATCTCCTTTTATGCCTAATACAAACTTTTTAAAAGCATATGTTTAGATCCTATCTAGGGTTGATTTTGTAAGTGTAATTGTGAAATAATTTCTGGTATTCACATAATTCTGTATAATAGGAAACTCTCAATTATACAGCTTTAAGCTTAATAGCAAGTAATAAAAGGTTTGCCTAAAATACTTGTAGCTGATACAACTTTCAGGTTTTTTTTTTAATGTCTTAGGGTCTTGATTGCATCAGAATCATTGAAGAGTTAGCAAAAGTTCTCAAGAAACAACCAGGTAACTTTCTTGAAAATAAATTGCTCTGTTTGACTTCTGTTGCTGTAGTAAGGACGTTCTGGGGCACTGTAGGTGAAAATCATTAAGATAAAACTGTATCAAAGAGCTTTATATTAGTGAGGTTATATGTTAAGAACATTTGAATTTATTTTTGTTTGCATATGTAGATCCATGAGGTTATAATGTTACAGGACCACATCTGAATTGTGTATCTGACCATATCTGATAGTATATTTATAAATATAAATACTATTTATAAATAACCTACATGCTTAAGAACAAGCCTTAAATTAAAGCTCGAGGCCTCAAGTTAGTAGTCATGGTATATTTGGACATTCAGTGCCTGATTAGTGAATAGTAAAAAATAGGCTGATAGAAGTTTGCAGTGGGATTCTGGTTTTTCTACAAGAAGTTATGATTTTATAGTGCTTGTTTTGGTGGATCTCAAGTTAATATTATTGGAGCAAACAGTCAGTGATCTCTTAAGCTTATTTTTCTGTAACATTTCTATGGATCTTTGTTTTATTGAGGGGCTAAACATGTATGTTTGTTTATATTTAGCGGATTCATCATTTTTGGCAAATGCCTAAAATCAGCATTAAAATACAACAGAAATACAGTTGTGATATCAACCAAGATTTTATTCTGTAACCTTTTTACTACAGTTTGGAGTTATTTGTAGAGCATTTGATACTGTGTTGCAGTCATTCAGTACTTAAACATTTCATCCTAGGTTTAAGAAATGTCTTGCCTATAACAACTGCTAAAGTCCCGATTGTCAAAGTTTTTCATGTCAGAAGTGGCCTTGAAATAGACATCAGTTTATATAATACGCTGGTAAGGTTATCTCCTTTTTTCTGGTGGTTTGTTTTTTTTTTTAACAGAAGAATTTGGGTCTGCTTTTTGAGATTGAAGTGATTGTTTTGTTCAGGTTCGATGATCAACTGTCTCCCATTACCTACCGCCGTTTTAGATTTCCAAACAATCTCTCTTTTTATTATTTTGGCTGTGAGTGGAGTTAGTGGCACAATGCGACATTACAGTTGTCATTTTTGTAAGAAAATGTATTAGTTCTGCAGTAATGGTAAGAAATAGTGGGTTAGATGGTTAAGTCTTTCTGCACGAGAGATACAAAATAATTTTTAACTTTAGCTTTCCTACACTCCACTTGCCATCATGTCTCTTGCTCAGCCCTAAAACCTGCAATCGTGATTTTGAACCCAGCTTGTCTCAACTGGGGATGTGTATTAGAATTTAAAAAAAAAAAAAAAAGTTCTAAGCCGAATATTTTGAACTAGTTTGGGGATTTTTCAGTGTCTCTGAACTTCTGTCATGCCTTAGGCCCAGCTGGCAACTCAGCACCACACAGCCGATTGCTCCCTCCTGCTGGCAACTCAGCACCACCCAGCCGATTGCTCCCTCCTCCCACCAGGGTGGGGTGGGGAAGAGAAAATACCAGGAAAGGATAATGCATCGAGACAAGGACAGGGAGGGATCACTCACCAGTTATGGTCACAGGCAAAACAGACTCGACTCGGGGAAGAAACATCAATTTCATTTATTTCCAATCACATTGGAGTAGGATAATTAAAAATAAAACCAAATAAAATCTTTAAAAAACCACCTTCACCCACCCCTCCGTTTTTCCTGGGCTCATTCCTCTGCCCCCTCCCTGCCAGTGGTTCAGGGTGACGGTGAATGGTAGTTGTGGTCAGTCCATCGCACTCTGTCTCTGCCACTCCTTCCTCCTCAGGGGGAGGACTCCTCACACTCTGCCCCTGCTCCAGCATGGGGTCTCTCCCACGGGAGACAGTCCTCCACCAACTTCTCCAATGCGAGTCCTTCCCACGGGCTGCAGTTCTTCACAGACTGCTCTAGCGTGGGTCCCTTCTGTGGGGTGCCATTCGTCAGGAGCAGCCTGCTCCAGTGTGGGCTTCTGATGGAGTCAAGGGCTCCTTTGGGCACAGCTGCCTCCTCCGGCGTGGGGTCCTCCCTGGGCTGCAGGAGGGTCTCTGCTCCCCCATGACCCTCCATGGCTGCAGGGGCACAGCCTGCCCTCTCACCAGGGAGGGACCCTGCCAGGGAACCTCTGCTCCAGAGAGTTCCTGCCAGGGAACCTCTGCTCCAGCCCTTTCCTGCCCACTTTTCCTCACTGACTTGGGGGTCTGTCTGGCTGTACCTCTCATATCCCACTCCTATCGCCTTCTGCAGGTTCTGTTTGTTCTCCCCTCTTAAATCTGTTGATTGCAGCATTTTTCCTGGGCTCAACTCTACTTCCAATTTCTCTACCTCCTCCCCCCAAGCTTCCAGCAGCTTTTCACAGGAGCCACCCCTGTAGCCCCTTCCCACTACCCAAACCCTGCCACACAAACCCAAAAAGCCAGTTCCTTCAAGCATCAGAGGAAGCTAAGTTTTAGAGCGAAGTATTGAACTTCATGAAGTTTATGTATGAGCTCAAGGGGAGTCTTGACTAAGGTACCTCAACCACGAAGTCTAAACATTTTCTTCTTGAAGTTAAGCATCCATATGGGTGGGTGAGTTTATAGCACTCACATTTCTGGGCTGAAATGTCTTAGTTCAAGAACCTACCTTCTACCAAGTATTTTGAAAATGCGGTAATAGGTCAATGCTTCCCTTTCTGAAATACTGTTGTGTGAGTGCTGCTTTATACCACTCCTGTACAGATTAAGGATTTTGATCAGCTTTTGAACAGAGCAGGTGATAACCTCCTGTTTGAATGCTTCCTCAGTACACATCCTACTGCACAGGGCTTCACATCTGCATTTCCTGAGCACACAACTTAGTTTTTGGTTTTCATGTTTTCAGTTTATTTCTTCAGAGCTCCTGCATTTTCTGTCTGATTTCTTACTTTTACAGGCCTTGCATAACACACGACTCCTGTCATCATATGCAGCCATTGATCCTAGAGTAAAGTATCTGTGTTACACCATGAAAGTCTTTGCGAAGGTAAGTGTATTTTAGACATTGTAGAAGCAGGAGTGCCTACAGCAAGAGTTGACCATAAAAGGTACAATTTGTGTTTCTTATTTTCTAGATATGTGACATTGGAGATGCATCTCGAGGTAGCCTTTCTTCTTACGCATATACTCTTATGGTGCTTTATTTTCTTCAGCAGAGAAAGCCACCTGTCATCCCTGTTCTTCAAGAGGTACAGCATATTGAGAAAGAAACAAGTATCTATACACAGTATTGGCCAGAAGAATGTCAGTGCTGAATCTGAAGGGCTCTTCTAATTAGCTTTAATATTATGCTTTTCAGATCTACAAAGGCCCAAAAAAGCCTGAAATTTTAGTTGATGGCTGGAACGTTTATTTCTTTGATAAGATAGAGGAGTTGGTGAGTAAATCACAAGGGTTAATACAAAAGGGTGTTACTTGTAGCTTTGCAAATGAAAAAGAATTCCCTTTAAGAAACATTGTCCTCAAATACCGTGGTTGAACACTGAAATGGAAGTGGAGTAGCTATTGCTTTGAAAATCCCAACACCATGCTGTAAAGCTTTAAGAATATGGTTGATTGTAATTCATCTGCGGGGAGAAAAATCTTCAGACTTTGCAAAAAAAAACCCCAAGGTGTTAATGAAGATTAATTGCTGTGTGTGTATCACATTAGTGGGTGGAGAACTCTTAAATACCAGCTGCGTATCTAGTCATAGCTGGTTAATCCTGTTGAATAATTTTGTGTTAAATAGGCACATAAAGTGAATTAATATATTCTTTTTTATAACGGGCAAATCCTAATGTTAGAAGTTTTATTAATTCTCCATTCTTCTTGTTAATATTTTTTAAAAATCTACCATTTAAAAATTAGTATTGGAAAATCAATACCAATTGTGAAGGAAAGGGAAGTATTCTGGTGTAACTCAATTGTGTTTCTCTAAGATAAGACCAATCTTGTTTGAGTTTCCAAGTTATGAAAATTATTCAGCTTAATGTAAGTACTGGAAGTAAAAATATTTCTGTCGCTTTCAGTCAGTTGTTTGGCCAGACTATGGCAAAAACACTGAATCTGTTGGGCAGCTGTGGTTGGGACTTCTCCGTTTCTACACAGAAGAATTTGATTTCAAAGAACATGTCATCTGCATTAGAAGAAAAAATCTGCTTACAACTTTCAAGAAGCAGTGGACCTCCAAATACATTGTAATTGAAGGTAAAAGCATGTGAAGCACATGAATATATGGAATTTCTTTAATGCTCACATGAAAAATTTGGTCTTTCCACAAGGCGTATTTATTTTTCTATTACTAAACTGGAAATTGTTATTAGTGCTAAAAAATTATTCGTGCTAAAAAATTATTCGTATTTTTTTTTTTACTCTCCTGAAAAGAAGCTGCAAAGCAGACTTCATACTTTTTGTGATGACTGTAACTGACAGACAAATATATTTAACCAAATTATTTGGAAAATAAATTAGCTGTAGTGCAATTGAGGTTTTCTCACAAATGCGGAGTTTAGCTTGAGTCCGTGTTTACATGACCAATTTAGCCCCATGTATGGTTACACTTAAGTAATACCATGGCCTCTGTCAAGACAAATGCCGCGATGCTTCTTAGAAATGTTCCCAAAATCGCTTTCTGGCCCATGTGACTTTTGTGGAAAGAACTTGTACTCTCTTGCCCACACATTCAACTCACTCTCTTGCAGTGCTTCAGTCAGTTCAGAGCCAGACAGCTGCAATCCTTTGTTCACGGAGTTAATTTCTTTGCAATAAATTTGCAAGCAGTTCAATTTCAGTATATTAATTCTGCATCGGGAATAGCTGCCTCGGGTTGTTCGTGTGTGTGTACAATTGCTGATCTTACCCCGGGCTTGATTAATGCTTGTAATGCTTTTTGTACAGACCCCTTTGATTTGAACCACAATCTTGGAGCTGGATTGTCAAGAAAAAGTAAGTCTCCTGTTAATAAGTTTGGGTACCAAGTGAAGATCTTGTCTTAAATCTTATTTTACTGGGGGTTTTTTTATGTTGGATGACCTCCCTTTTTTTTGTTTCCTTCCCCAGTGACCAATTTTATAATGAAGGCTTTTATCAATGGCCGAAGGGTATTTGGTACTCCTATAAAAACGCTTCCTAAAGAATATCTATCAAAAATGGTAAGTTGCTTCTAAGAGCAGTATGTGCATGCTCTTGGTTGTATAACTTCGCACTTGCAACAGTTATTGTCACACTCTCTTTACGCTCTTTTCTCTTAAAGATTTGTGGAGTACTGTTGAAATTTGTGGGAGCTGTTACCGAGTGCTGCTTTTGTGTTGTTTGCATTTAAAATGTAGAATCTTTGCATGCAGAATACTAACCAAATGAGAGCTTCCATTGTACAGGCTTACAGATTTTAGTCTCTACCTAAACTAGCTTACCATTTCTTAAAACTGCATTTTTAAAAAAAGAGCTTGCTGTGAAGAGGAGGCCAGTGGCCAGTTAATCTCTTCAGGTCTTCCAGGAGTTCAGCTGCACACACAAGGTTTATTCTTCTCTGTGACTCTTACTGCTGTTTAACATTTGCTGCTGTCTTCATTTCCAAGGGTATGGATTTTCATTTTAAATGCATAATTTCTTCTTCAGGTGTACTTTTTTGATCCAGGGATACTAACGGAAGGAGAATTGGCACCAAATGATAGATGCTGCAGAATTTGTGGCAAAGTTGGCCATTTCATGAAAGATTGTCTCATGAGAAGAAAGTGAGTACAGTTTTGCCATCTGTGCGGAACTTACCCTTAGGTTTATGTAGAAGAAAGATCGGGATAGTAATGCTAAGCAAAACTTGCACGGGCTGCAGATTTCCTTTCCTTCATATTGAAATGAAAATGTATCAGTACCAGTTTTGGCAGTGGTGGATGATGTTGGGGTTAGTTGGGTTTTTTTAATTTTTGGTCTGTGTCGAGTCACTGCTTAATTTTTGCCAGGACCATCTGTAGTGGTTTTTTAATAGAACCTTTTCATAGAAGGCTGCAAAAGTACTCAGCTTAAGGTGGTAATGCTGACTCTACACTTCATTATACAGGAAAGCAGTAGTTAAAGAGAATCTAAACGCAGAGCTAAATAGCTGTGGGAAAAGCACTCACGAAAGCATTTTATGTATTTTCATTTAATAATTTCTACTTCCAGAATCCTGCTGCTCCCAGCAACACACACTTTTGTCCTGTTCTCAGAATTACACAGTACTTGTCATAAAGCAAGACAAGAATGTCACAGTATTATTTTTCTTAAGCACACACATATAAGAACAATGTCCTAGTTTACATCCAGGAGGTTTCCTGATCCTGAGTAACCAGATGTCAATGAGATTTTGTGTCTAGGAACATAAATGCCTTGCAGGGTAAGGCCACTGAAACATTTGAGTCCTCTCTCCAACCACTGCAATAGGAGATGCTGTCTACAGAGCGCACACTAGTCGGCTGTCTTCTGTAATCCCTTCTCATGGACTCCCCCAGCATCTGAAGTTGCTTTGTAAGAGGTATTGGAGCACATACCTGCCCTGGTCTGGTAGTACTCATTTGTGGACTTAGGTTTTATGATTTTGTCCTTTTTGGGTTTTGTGCTTTGGTTTTGTTGGGTTTTTTTCCTGAACCCAAATCTCCTGTTTTTCCTAAGTTTTCCATGGCAACCAGTTCCATAAGTATGCTAGCTGATGTGTAAAGTAGTACCCTTTCATCTGTTTAAAGCCAATCTCATTTTAGTTTCATAAGCATTCCATAGGCCAAGTAGCCTGGTGGGATTTAGTTCATAATAACGCTGCGTTGGTGATTTTGTAAAGCCATGATTGCGTTCACCCTTTAGCTTTTTCCACTTTGAAGAGTCTTGACGCTTTTAGCATCTCTTCTTTAAACACTTTAAACATTCTAGCTGCCTTTCTCTGTATCCTCTCTAACGCCCTTCTTAAAATATTCAGACCAGACCAACATGCAGTACTTGGATATAGGCACAACCATAGTTTTTATGTAGCAACAAAATGTCTTCTGTCCTGTTCTTAGTGTTTTATCCAGCCTATCCCTACAACCCTGATGAAAAAATGTGCTTCCCAGTCTTTCCTGTAGACCCCCTTCAGGTAGTTAGAAGACTGCTATAAGGTCTCTCCGGAGACTGGCAAAACCAGTCTGGCAGCGATAGCTGTTTCCTGACTGCTAGATTTTTTAAGTCATGTAGAATGTGCTGCAGTAGAAGAGACTTTCAGAGATACTGTGAATATATGTAGATTCAAAAGACAGTGAGTTCTGATTAAATTGTACGAGTAGAAAGCAAAAACAGAGCTGTAGCCCTGTTTTTAGCATTTTACTTGGTGTTTCTTTTCTTCCACTGTCTTTGCAATGCCAACACCCAGATTTTCTCTTGTGTTTGTATTTTGTGAGATATAATTATTAGGATTTAGAGCTGTATTATAATCTAATTGTGAAGTTAAACTATTAAATATGTGCTACATCAGTGGAGCTCTCTTTGGTAGAACAGTCTAAGGCACAGGAGCGTGAATTCACTGTAAAGCACCCAAGAAATAAATGAAGTGCATCTATTGCCTGTAGATAGCACTTGGGGTGGGTTGGTTGGTTGGTTTGATGTGGGGTTTTTTAGCTGTGTGTATGTAAGGCCTATGAACTCTGCAGCATTTTTCTGCTCCTGCAGACTTAGACGGCGTCGTGATTACGAAGATAGCAAAAACCAGAGGTACACAGAGAGCAAGGAGAAAAGAAACAAAGATGACAAAGAAACTCTGAATAAAACAACAGAAAAGGAGAGCTCAATCAAGGAGGGGAAACTGCATCTGTGTACACCTCAGAAGAGGAAACCAGCAAGGGTAATAGTGGAAACTGGAAGAGAAAAGACTCCCAGGCAGTCAGCAGAGAAGTGGAAGCACCTGGAAGACAGAGAAGTAAGAGAAAAACGTTGTTTCATCTGTGGAAGAGAAGGTCATATTAAAAAGGAGTGCCCACAGTATAAAGGAGCTGCAGGTATGAAACTGAGCAAGCTGGCTAGTTTAAACAGGGTTTATGTTTTTTGGTGTTTTTAACAGGATTGACTAATAGGGTAAGGTTTTTACATTTACATAAATGCACGTGTTCCGGTTTTTTTGAAATGTAGTCACGTTTAATCGGTTTGCCCTTCATCCTCACCTACTTTTGAGAACTTTGCTGTACCCCAAGGGATTTGACGTAGTTTCTCTTAGCAGGTAAGATGCTTGTAATGTAGAAAGGGTATGAGCATGTAGTATGTTGAAATTGCTTCTGGTGTCCTCACTGTATAGAGTTTGCTAACATTTCAAATTACAGGTTCTCTTTCAGTACACCGTAATTGGAACAAAATCTACTCTTACAGCTCTTTACATCACCTAAACCAGAATTGTTCAGTAAGACCCTGAATACAATAACGAAAGAGTACAGATTGCTCAGATGTTTTATTTCATTCACAATATTCTAAAAAAATGTTCCTGTCAACTCAGCAGTCAGAGTGATACAGCAATCTGACTTGTTTTCATGGAGTCGGTTTTCAAGTTTGGCTTAAAAAAAAAAACCTACAAAAATGCCCCCAAATCCAGATCCTGACTGACAGACCTGAACAAAATAATTAAATTCTTGCTTGGCAATATCTGTGCCTTCCTTCAGATGAGGCAGGTCTCTCATCACCTGTGTTGCAAAGGAAAATCACTCCAAGGTAAAACTGAGACTCCTTAAGATAGTGAATGGTACTTTAAGTTAACTTCCAAAGGAACACAGTATTACTGTTTCCCTCTAGGTAAACTTAGGAGCATTTATACTTATGCTGGGGAAAACTGCTCTACAGATTACTTACGACTTGACCTCTTAAAGTAACAAATAGGAATCTTTTGTATAAACGTAATTTCAAACCAGCTCTTCTTTACTAGCAAAAATGTTCTGTCTGTCTGAGATCAGGAGACTCTTCTTAATCAGATGCAATTGGTGGAAGAGGGCATGAGACTGCTACCAAAGTACTGGGAGTGGGAGGAAAATGGCGCAAATAATTACCTTGAAATTTCCGAATTTAGAAGTCTTCTTAGTTCGATAGACTGCTAGAAGTGTTGGGTGAACAGAAGATGATTAAAAATTGAAGCCACATTTTCATCAGCTTCTGACCTTTAGAAGGTGTATGTCAAGTCTAAATTTAACTTTTGAGGTTCTTTATCTTTGACCTTGTCTCACTGAGCATTCGTTTCTGCCATTCTGTTGGCCATGATACTGAGTTCGCTAAGGTGACGAGGAGTGTTTCCTGACTGTTTTGTAGTCAGTGATACTCTTGTGTTTTGTTACATTAATCCTATGATGACTGTGCTGAGGCTGTACAGTACACAGGTCTAAATTTTTTTTTTTTTGTGCTTGCTTAGTGGCCTGAAGTGTTCTCTCTAGTTGAATAGCAAACTGTGAACTTGACCTAAGGGATCAGACCTTGTTCTTTGCTGTGCTGCACTTGGTGAGGCTGTGGACAATTCGCTTGCCGCTGTAACTTCATTTGTTCTCTGAAGTTCCCTGTCTGCCTCTGATTTCTGGAGGAGGATGCAGAGCGTAACTACTTGTAGGTTCCTAGCTTAGATGCTTGTCTATGGCACAGTGAGGGGAGATGCATCCGTTTTCTCACATCATAAAATTGAGGAAAATAACAGTGTCTTGCAATCAACCTTCATAATACATAGAAGGGTAGATATTTTGCTATTTTTATATCTTATGATACTTGAAATGGAACTAGTTTCCAATTAGCAAATCTTTGTAATATTATGATCTTTTTCAGGTGGTTCAAAACCAGAAGTGTTGTGTGGATCCCCTTCTTCACCTAGCGCTGCCAAACACACTGGAAGATTAAATCAGGTAAATACCACGTGTCCCTTTTCTTTGATCTTTCTCACTTTCAATGTTCTGAAGATCATATGAAGTAATTAAAAATAGCTTTACTTAAGCTTACAAGGAGACCCTTTTATTCTTTTTTTTTTACTGTGGAATAACATAATTCAGTTTTGTTTGTTCATCAGTGCGTATATGTTGTTTATAGGGAGTGCTCATACATGAGGAAAAAAAGAAACAAAAAGGAAAAGTATTCTTGAGTCCCCAGTCAGGTTTGTATATCTTTGCTTCAATTCAGAAATTCTGCGTAATTTTAACATGCTTTCTCCATCAGCCCTTACGGGAACTCTGCCTGATTTGCTGAAGACAGCAACCGTCTGGACAAGCTGGTAGATAATTCTGAAATGAAGCCACGTTTTTTTAACTGGAAAAAAGTGTGCAGTTTTTCACCAAAACTTAGGCATGTCAGTTCTGTGCTGGTTTTTCTTTTCTTAAACTCTGGTAGATCTATTTTGCAGAAGGATATGGTGGGTTTTTATCAATCTTTCTCCTCTCTCCTGTTTCGGCATCCATGGGGTTCTGTGTTTCTTCAGGGACGACATGTGGAGCGCTTTCTTGTGAGGCTTCCTCAGAGTAATTGTCTAGAATTCGACATGATCAGCCACCTTAGGAGAGACTGTCAAAGCACATCCTTGGTCTGAGCTGCCAGAATGCAAGGAAGTTAAAGTTACACTTAAAAGCAGCAGTTAGATGGTAATAAAAAGGCCTTTATGTACTCTCTCCGGATCAGAGATGTTTTGTGTTAGATGCGTGGTTACAAATGCAGCTTCATTACAGTAATTTCACACACTTACTGACAGGTACAATGAAGATTCTTATAAGCAACTGCTTTTTAAAATTGCTTTCCGTTTCTTGTTTCACTCCCCATCCTTTTAGTAGCTTGAGGTTTCTTCAGTGTCAGATAAAGCTCTTCTGGGGCACCTGAAGGGGAACCTAGGTAGTCTTTGCGAACTTGGGAAAACTAAACTGCAGTTAAGTATCTCAAAAAAAATTCTCAGTTTTGTTGGGAAGACACAGTATTTTCTGTTTTCACTGCAAGGCTTTTTCAAGTCCAAGTTCGGTATTTTTAAAGTGATTTGCTATTACGTGTTTTGTTGGAGAAAAAAAGAAGTTTTCAATGTTGTACTTTAATATTTCCTACTGTCCTCCAGCAGGTAATGATCTCAAGTGGGTCTGTGTGCCCTTTCATTATAGTTTGACTTAGCAGTCATTTTCTCCTGTCTCATTGGTTTAGTTGTTTCGTGTTTTGGTAGGGTTTGGGGTTTGTGGGGTTTTTTAAACCTTCTAAAGTGTAATGCTTGCTTTCTCCCTATCTTAGGCAGCCTTTCCAATAAGTACATGACTCAGGGAAAAGCCTCACAGAAGAGGACCCAACAGGAATCATGAGGGATATTAAGCACTGTTAAATTGCAATACAGTCCCTTCACTCGTTTAAAGTTTCTTTGGCTAAAGCATCTGGTTTCATAGGACAGCAGCACAAACAACCTTTGACTTAAACCGCCCATATTTTATTAAACTTATTTTACATAGCTAGTGCAAGCAACGGTGGGTATCCTGCTCTTAAATAGATTGTTTGAAACATTTTATTAGAAAGCCATGATGTTTACTAGGTAAATCACGTAGAAAAGGGCAGGTATTAAAAATGGACTGTTTTCAAGGTTTTGTCTTTCCACCTAACCATTTAAAAATGCAGTAAAACTGTGTGCAAGCCAAATATATTTTCTTCAAAAATGATTTTTCTTGAAGGAGCAAATAGTATTTATTAATGTTAACTGTTTACCGAATCCTTGTGTAAGTGTTTGAAATGTTTGTAGACTGCTACTTTTTTTTTCCTCTAGAGAAATGAAAACAGGCAGCAGTAAATATATGTAAAACAATCTCTGGACAAACAGTGCCATTGAGATTTCTTGGGTTTTTTTCCTGTTCTGTGACTTCATAGGAGTTCATTCGCTGCTGTGCTTGTGTACAAAAAGAATGAAAGACTAAGGAACAGGTCAATCCTGTTTGATGCTGCTAAGAATCTTTTTCACAGCCTTTGGGGATACAGACAAAAATGCTTTAAGAATAGAGGTATTATATTTGGCAACTGGGGAAAACACATGTCCATTTTCATAAAATGTGAAGAGGATCCTTGTACCAGCCAAGAACTTAATTAGTAGTATGAACTTGAGCTTTACTTGAAGTCCTTCCAGAGCTGGTAATGGTAATCTTACGTTGTTCAGGAAAGAATTAGTTACATGGTAAAACTGAAACCACTGTTATTTATGACTTTGAAATAAATTTCAGTTAAAAAATCAGACTTAAGTTTCTGTATTTCTTCTTAGGCTGTAGTTTTCAGTATTCCTGATTTAAATGTAGAATTAATGATAACTTCCTAGAATTATCTGATTTCAGAAATGTCGTGCTTAAGTTGTTTTTTTCTTTACCTATCTATTTTTATTAAAGCTGAAAACTAGAATTTCCAGAGTGGTCTTAAGGAATTGGGATCCTAACCCCTTTTTTGGTTTTCATCCATCTGTAAACCTTTACATGTGCAACTCTTGATTAAAAAAAAAAAAAATAAAATTGAATTCTTTCCTCAACATATTTTCAAGTAAAATATTAGCCAGCAGCAAACAGAAAATAGTTCCAACTTTGTGTTCTGCAGCATATGTCACCATTTGAAATTAAGTAAGTTTTTCCCTCAAAAATAAGTTCATTCTTGTGGCTTTTCATTCATATCCCCCAAAAGAAAGGCTGACATGCCTTCTGCAAGCCTCATTTAGTTCTCTGTTCAGAGTTAACTTCCAGTTTTGCTTGTGGGAGTGAAGTGGGATCATGGTATAATCTCAAGGAAGTTATTTATAAAGAAGAAAACCGATCTGCGCGTACTCGCTCTCTTCTGTCCGCAATAGCATCGTAGTTTAGCAGTGAAGTCAACCGTGTAATTTCTAAAACTTGTTCTGCAGATCCACCTGGCTTCTCACTCTGAAGATGCTGCTTCCTTATGCACTTACACGTTCTCTGTAGTTACTGATCTCACAGCCTTAAAATAAAACCCCCAAACTGAGCTGATATATTACAAGCATTAAACCAGTAACTAATCAATCCTCTGTTTGCTTGAAGAGTAGTTAAAGAGCACAGTCGTAACTTGCAGAACGGTATGTGACACAGAACAACCACAGTTGAGGAGGCATACTGCTGGGTTAGGTTGTTGTAAAATTTAGGGAATTGACTGAAAGTTAAAATTGTAGAGAAGTAAGTTCATACAGTTGTTGATATCCAGGATAACCGCGTGCCTTATGGGAGTGTATTCTCAAGGGAGCAACTGTCCACGTTTGAAGAAAAACCCTGAAGGGACACATGGCACTAATAAAAAGTTTCAAGAAAAAGAATGGTATCAAAAGTAATAGTAATAAACTAAAATAGCCCATACTTACAGAATGTAATAATAATTGCTAATAAACTAAGAGTTTAAAAGATCTTTTTTGAGCCACCTGTACAATCAGTCCCTCTGCTGATACAGAGGGACACCAGGTGGGTAGCACTGCTTATCTGTGCTTCTTTAATTTAAAAAAAAAAAAAAAAAAAAACCACAAAGTGCTGTTGTCATCTTTTGATGTTCCTGTTTCCAGAGCTGGAAAACGTCTTGTGCTAAATGTCTTTGTTACCAGCACTGCAAAAAGGAGAAGGGCGAAATTCCGTTTCAGGTACGCAGCACGGGGAATTGCCTGGTTAAGACAATTAAATCTGTTACATAACTGCTAGATTAACATGCGCCTATCTCCCCTAATTTAATTGTTCTGGTGAGATTTGTTTCATAGCCAATTTAAAACTGGTTTCTCATCCATTAAGAATTTTATTCACAGTGATTTATTTTATAAAGTCCATCACACTTTTTGTAAGAACTGCAGGAGCCACATCAAAAATGGCAACTTTGGGGGCCTGAAATAGGTGCTCAGAATGGCAGCTTGCTGGCAAGTAGTTATTTTTTTTCCCCTGTACTGATAGTTTTCATGAATATTTCTTGTTATTCACCTGAACTGTGTAGATTTTCAATATTGACTCTTGCTTTTTATCTTCTTCTGGTAACGTACTGAAGATGAAAGGCACCTTAAAACAAGGCGGCTGTCCTAGCCCGCACTCGGTCCTTCCTCCCGAGATTAACGCAGCAGACAGGTGACTAAAGAGTGAGGATTGGAAGTTTCCCAAGGGAGTACAAGGAGGTGAAGCTCTTTATGCCCACATCGCAAGCCTGAACCATGAAGGTACTAGCTGCACCATACGCGTGCGCATTGCTGACCTCAGCCTCAGGCTGGCAGGGCTAAGCCCCCCCTGACACGCAGGTGGGTGTGTTACCGTTCAGGGGGTGTGCCCCAGTTGCACAGACCGCGTGTGAAAAGACGTTCTGCGTAACTGCAGAAGACACGACTTCAGCTGTCTTTGTATTTGAGGTAGAAACACTGTGCCCCAGTAGGGAGAGTGGCATAGTTACGTATGTAAAAAACTCGTCCCAGTGACGCTCGGTAAACTCTCGGCCTCTTTCGACCGTATTTCTCACAGGTGCGGCCTACGCGTTCGCGGGCCACCGTGTTACCACAGGCGGCCG